ATATGGATATTTCAATAGTTGGTAAATTACTACTAACAAAATAATTGAACATTTTAAAATAAGTACTCAATATTAAAATAAATTTAGACAAATAATATTGGTAAGTTACAAAAAGCACAAAGAAATAATAGCTGAGACCCCGTCGATAAGAATTAAACATTATAAGTCATTAAGAATATAAATATGATACCATAAGACTTACTATTATAATATATATTGTCCATTACCAAGGTAATTCTTGAACTACATCGACCCATAAATCATAATTAAATAGTTGACAAATAATACATTATCAGTGTTTGGTATTTGCAGTCACTAATCAAGAGTCATCGTGTATACCAAGATTAAAATATATATAAATAAATATTTTTCATGGTTTCATACGAAAAATACCAAGAATTATGAAATTTTCAATTATTTTACATCACAACTAGTCCATCCCTATTAATTTTAAAAAAATATTATAATATAATTAATAATATAGTAATGTTAATCGAACATATTATTTGTATACACTATGCGTGGTCCAAATAGAGCGACTGTCGGGAAAAAACGAGATAATATTTCAAATTCATTATTTTATCCTCCTCGACGAACCTCGCAGGCAACACAACACACACGATCGCACGCTTAATAATAATATTATTATACAACTTGCTCAGCCGGCGTACCACATAATAATAATAATATTATTATATTGTATACCTCACAATCTCTCTGAAAGCGTTTCGGCGTAATATTCGAAAAAGGATGTAGTATATTAGGTATATTACTCATGTAAAGAAACATGTACACGGTCGCAGGTCGAACGTATCCTTTCCGTATCAGCTGATGTCCGTCGGTCGTAATATCATATCATTCCGATCGAAACCGTCCCATCACACCCCGTCTGCACTTTACGTGATTTATTATATTATAATACATCGTACTAAGTTAGATATTGTGCATCTAATTATCAGAAAACATAGGTGCAATTGTATAATAGTAATATGTCGACACGCCCGCAAAAAGCGCATTATTAAAATATTATCGTCTGGCCGATAGCACCGCCAAGGATCGTGGCTTAAATATAATATATGGGTAGGTATTTACGGCGGGTCGGATATTGATATTAAAGACAATGACTGTAGACATTTAATGAATCAATTATTATTGTAGTGAGCTACGTCTTAGAGACCACCTTAAACATGATTTAATGGCTCGCTGTCTATACGATTTTATAGAGAACCATTAAAAATAAATAATCGATTTTTTTTATGCAACTCTGCATTATAAGTGTATTTTACTTTCTCGGTTCCTATGTACATAATTATTATATTTTGAACCGTGACCACGGTACTACAACCGTTATCGTTTGTCAATCGTCGGTTATCATATTTTGACGATCCGTGTATTATTATAAAATCGTTTCATTGTAATGATGACCGGAGTGACAGACTCCGTCTTCAGGACGAAGGTCACGGACGCGTGGCGAATGCTACAGCGGTTACTTGAGCTTAGGTAGTGGTATATAGGTTTGGCTTAGCGAAGTCGAGTTTTGCTGGTACACACCGACTACCATGCAGTAAATATTCGAGTTTGCCCGGAATTCGATTGCAAATCTAAGGTTCTGCATAGACGTCTTACCTGTAGACTTCACCGGCTGCACGGGATAGTTCGTTTCATAATAATAAAACGTTATTATTATTTAAACGGTATTAGGAAAAAAAAATAGATTGTCTTCATCAATATGGGCACCACCACGACCGTATGTTGTGCGTTAGTAAACAGCTTAGTACCTAACCTACCTATGTTTTATTTATGAAATCGTGTAATAGAAAACACAGTAGGTTTATCATAATAATAATAATGATAATATGTAATAGGTATGTAATATGTAATAATATATTCATTCATACAGAATCGTATTTTAATTTCGTCTACGTTAATATTCGCTTATTCGAACCCCACAACGCATATTTACAATTACGTAAAACTATTTCAATCGTACTAGAAAAACAATTATTTATTTCAACAATACATAATCGTTAGTTTATTGAACTCAACATAAATATATAATTTAACTTAATTTATGTGCATTTATTGAAATTATAAGCACGACCTAGTTATAATCGAACATCATACTTAATAGTACGCATAAAATATAAATATTTATATGAATTCGTATATTGAGAGGCGAACCGTGGTTAATACCATTCTTCAAAAATTAAATTTTCCCCTAGATTGAATTTGACTTTAACGGAACCGGAATACCTCAATTTAATTTGATGGAAGTGTCGTCATATTTTTTCAATCAAATTGTTTTGCATTTATTGCATTCAAACTAATTTATTGTTTTTAAAATATATCTTGATCATATTATATTTTATTATTGATGGTAAATAATTATACATACCTTTATTAAAATTTAAATCTATTGTTATAAAATTCTAAAAATTAACTATAATTGCATTGCTTATCCACTATCGAGTATACAATGATAATAGAAAATAATTACTTCATCATTAGAAATTAAATTGTTTTGCATATTGGATACCAACTATAATTTATAATGTCGTAGATTGATAGAAACCTAATATTATTATGAAACTAAATTTCTCAACATCTTTAAATTTACAATCACTCCGAGGCACCTATGAATGTACCAATATAGGTACTCGCGCGGGTGTAAGAGTGTATGTGTGAGACGAATGTTTGATAATTGGTAGGTTCATGACTTATAAGATAAAGTATATTATAATATTATTGCCAAATCATATTATTATCTATTATTTATATATTTTAACATTTAATTATTATGAGCTATACAAACTAAAACACATTACGTCTAGAATTATTTGTGTATCAGTATTTTGTTGAACATGGGTAACATTTTAAAGTGCATCTTATTAAATTGTATTAATATTTTATATTTATAATATACTCTTTTAGGTATTTAAATATAACTTAATATAAATACATGAATATAATGGACTGTATTATGGAATACTGTATTATATTTGTATGTGTTATAAAAATACATAATTTATTTAAATTTCTTTACTTATTCGATAAAAATTGAAATACTTTCACTAAAGAATAAAAATACGTGACTAAGGTTTGATAGGATTGTTAAATATGTAATTGATAGATATTGCTATGTATTTATTTTATAGATAATTTGTTTGATAAATTATCAGATGTACCGTATATGTAATAAATATACTTAAGTCTAGTACTCTAGCCACAATGTTTTAGTCACACTAGAATAATTATATAACTGAAGCTAAATATATATTATGTATTACGTGTTAAAAAACCAAACAAATATGGAGCAAGGTCAAAGCCTGACAATTGTTTTAAAATAATTGTATCCTTGAAATGTGTGCATAACTATAATTTAATCGTCAGCAATAAACTATCATCGATCTTAAATGTTTAGTAAAATAAGATTGTCATGATATTCAGGAACTCAATCAGAGACAGAGACATTAAGTAATTTAGTAGTACCTACGAATACCTACTACAATATAAGAAGTGCATAGGTTAGAATAATGCCACACACATTTTTTTCAAGTTTGAAAGTAAAAGTCCCCCGCCACAAATAGTGTTATGCCATAATGTTTGATTGAATATATTTTTTAATTAAGAAATATTAACTCTATTCCAACTACATTTTCCGAAATAAATTCTCCATAATAATGATAAAAAATTTTAACTTTGCTGAATAAAAATTAATGTCGTATTAAATTCATTTTTGTGTTAGTTATAACTAATAAACACTAAAAAGGTTTATTATTTATTAATATAAAATTAATTAATTGTAGAATTATTGGATTTTTGTTTTATGACTATGCGTTAGCCTGCTGGGTAGGTAGGTAGTAACTAGTATGTACTATGTAACAATTATTTTTTTTTAAATGTTTAAATGGTAATAGTTCATTATTTTTCAGTGTTTATAGTATACTATTATGATAATTGTATGTTATAAATAATAGTTATGGTTGATAAGTCAATAAACAATTGCCTTTGGCAGTTATTACTGTTTTATAGGTACCTTTATACAAACAATAAGATTATAATAATTATAGTATGATTAGTTTACGGCACTGCACAGTGTCATAAATGCATAAAAACTGTAATAACCAATGGTTATTGTGATCTATACCTATATAGAACATTAAACCAGACAATTAAAAAAATTATAAAAAAAAAAAATGAAATGAAAATATGAAGTTGACATTGAAGTGGTGGTGTATTATACACTACATAGATATTATGATATCCTTCGCCGGGCCAATAATAGTGGAAAACAATTCAAACTAGGTCAGAACAACGACCGAGTCTCCTCCGCTGCTGATGCCTCAAGCTGGTGTTATAGATACCTACGCCGTAACAGACTATTCACTATCAGGTTGCAGGTATTCAATTGAAAATATAAATATATGATAAACATACATAATAATGATAATATTATACGCGGACACAACATTAAGTATAGCATTTATACGATGGTGGCCGACACTTTTCCACAAATATTACGTATGTCCATAATATCCAATTAGACGGCGTCTAAATAAACAGATACCTCCGTATAACGGGGCGAAAGTGGTTGTGCCCGTCGATTTCTTTTGACAGATTACACGGGCAATTTTGTTTTGATTAGCAATTTTCATTACGATTACTTGTTATTATAATTGATATTAATACCGTTTTATTACCGGCGGGGATGAACCATTTGGCCAATTCTTCGCCCCGGGCGACAGTTACGCTGATTGACTGCACACCACTGCTATTTGATCGACATATGATATTCTCCGAAAATGATGTTGTTTATCCTATACGGACGTAATTATACATTACGTACCCATCCTAAGGGTGTCCGAAGTAGGGCCAACGACTATATTTTTATAGTATATAAATTTCGGATCGATCGTCACTAGTATTATTACAATCTGTTAGTTCGATCAGCGATCATCAAAAAATAAATTATTATCATATCAAATAAACTTATCCACACAATGGCGGCCAAAGTAAGTGTTATATTTCATTATATTATTTGTATAGCTATATGGTTTCTCGTAGACTTGTGCAGTTCGTAAAAGTTAGGAATATTTAAAGTTTTTTTTTTTTTGAAGAAATAAAATATTTAAAAATGGCGTGTATGAATGTTTTAGTACAACGTATTGTACGACTTCGTGGCAATGAAACATATTATGGTTTAATTATAGATAACTTTTGACAAAGTGAACAAACCGCTCTAATTTATCGTTTTACTGGACGCGATAGGTACCTACCTATTTTTGGCACATCAATATAGTTGTGACTTGTATTAATTTAATATTTTTTCTGGAACATCTACATAACAGTCTATATAGGTATATGATTTTATACTATAGGTGCCTACTCAATATAATATTATTTGATATTAATCCTTAATGACAGGATTGTTGGTAAAATAATATTATACTAACGTAGAACACTTTCTGTACGGTGTATAATTAATGTTTTTTTTTTCAATTACTTTCATTTATAATTTTTAAGGAAATGTTAAACCATCAAAATCAAAATGATCAGAGATTATTTTAATAAAATATACGTAGTTTTCTTATATTACATTATATTAATATGTTAAAAAAAATAATCATAATATTACGAGGTCTTGAAAGTTTTAACATGTTATATCTGCAATGAAATCGAGATTTTAACGGTGTACAGAAAATGATTAAATGAATAGTACATAAATAACACAATATTTGCCATACATTCAAATTAATAAACACAAAATTGCAATAAAGATAATCTTTAATTTTAATTTCGAAAAGTGGTTTTTCATGAACTTTTATCAAAAATATATAAACGTAAATACATAATGTAATACTTGATTTATCTACTTGGCTAAATCGTCTCATTTAAAATTGTAAGACTGTGCGTTCACGATTTTTTTTTTTTTTTTGATTTACTATCATACAAATATTAAAAAAGGTGGGCAAGTGGGTGTCGCTCTGCTGTACAGTAGGTTACAAGTGGGTCACTGTATAATGGATGATATTAAATTTGAATTCAACGATATAATATCATTGTATAAGAAAAACGATTCTGAGCGCAGACGGTATGTCAGTCTATGTATAAGACATATTATATACATATCTATGGTATTAAACAAAAAATTGACCTATAATGGGTACCTATAATAAATTCCAAATTAATCATATCAAAATATCCATTAGGTACTTATAACGCGTTATACATCAACAAAAACCGTGATACTATCATAGATATATAATAGTACACTTTAGAAGTTTCAAGTATCCACGAATAATATTATTCAATCACAACAAAATAACTAAAATAGTTATTCTAGGTTTTTTAATATGTAATTTCGTCCAAATTTGAATTTAAAATGTCTGTAAAAAATAACTGTGTTCATATATTTTTTAGATTTTTTGGTTACAGTATGAACTATTTACGAGAACCTTTGTGTTGAATTTGCAATCCTTAGCTATAAAAACTGAACATTTTATAATTTATTAATTACAATGATTGATAATTTTCGAGATTTTGATAAATTTTGTCAAAATTTGATCTTTAAATGCTTATAAAAAAAAACTGTGCCTATGTATTTTTAATATTTTTCAACTGATATTATAACAATATATCAGGAGCCTTGTATTAAATTTTTACACTTTTTGGCCCAACAGATAAAACTTTATTGATATTTATAGAAAAAAAAACTAAAAAAAATTGAAAGCTGTAAATGTCCATAAACAGCTCAAAAAGAGTCAAAATATTTTCAAAATTGTATGGTGTATAGAAAATGCTAATTTAAACATTCAGTGAAATTTTCATGTATCTACAGTTATTTGTTTTTGAATTACAACAAAATAAGGAAATCGCTACATGGGAAATCGAGTGAATATTCAATGTTGTAAAAATTTGAATTTCAAACGCTCATAAAAATTTAATTTGACTTTCTTATAAACATTTTTCTTTTGATAAAGGTAGACAAACTTATAAGGAATCTTGTGTTTAATTTTCAAATCTTAGATTTAAAAAGAAAAATTTTTACGAATTCTTAACTCAAAATAATTTGCTAATTTTCGTGATTTTCCCATATTTTGTCAATTTTTGAACTTTAAATGCTTATAAAAAAAAATTGTGACTAAGGATTTTTAATATTTTTCATCTGCCTTTGAAGCAATATATTAGGAGCCTTCTATTAAATTTTCAAGCTTTCGCAACCAACAAATAAAATTTTATTGATATTTTTAGAAAAAAAACTAAAAAAAATGGAAAATGAAAATGTCCCTAAACAGTTCAAAATAAATCAAAATATTTTGAAAATGTTATCGTGTATAGAAAATGCAAATATAAACAACCAGTGAAAATTTCATGTATATACGTTCATTTGTTTCAGAGTTACACCAAAAACCAAAATCGATTTTTTGGAAAACCAATTTTGCGTAAAAATTCCCGTTTTTCCTTAATTTTTATGTTGTTTTTCCCGGCGCTTGTGAAAACTACTGGGAAATTTATACTTTTGACCCCCCAAAGTACCAACTAGATTCACTTTCCTATCAGAAAAGCTACTGATGAAGAAAATCCAAGCACTTTTACTGTCCTAAAACGTGATGACAGACACAAAAAAAAATAAAAAAATAAAAAAAAAAATAAAAAAAAAAATAAAAAAACACACATCATTGTAAAATCAATACATTCATCGTTTCACTCAGAATCTAAAATACGAAATATAATTATGTAAATAACATTTGATACATAAATATTCTATTCAATATTATCCATTTACTGTTTATGTTTAATCTTAATAATCACTTTAATAGACAGTTTTTTGTAGTCTTGAGATAGTTATTATAATAAGCACAATACAATTAATATAAAACTCGTGCCTATGTAATATTATAACGGTGCCAAGATCAAACGATCAATGCTTTAAATCGAGTTTTTTTTCAATTTTCATTAAAATATTATATTCTTATAAAGTTAAAATAAACATGTTAAGGGCACGCCCTATTTTTTTTTTTTTTTAACAATGAAATATATTTTAAAGTATTCATAATGTTATATTTTATGTAGGTATTTAATATACGTGACCGAATGATAAACCCTTCAGTTAGAGGACAGTATTTGTCACAAACAAAAAAAATCTGTAACAAGGCCAAAACGATAATTATTATCGATTTCAGGTTTAAATTTTACTTTCACAATAGCCGTACATATTATTATATTAATAGTTTAATTTATAAAATTTAAATTTGTAAACAAAATTACTTCATAGCAACAATTTTCAGAAACCAGATTTTCCATGTTGATAAAATGCAATCGTGTGCAAAAGATATGAGCAGCGGTACCTATTTTTAAATGAAAAATAAGACATTTTTTGTCCTTAAACTCATAAACTGATAACGCTAATAACTAATAAAAATAATAGCATTTAGCTTTAGTAGATACTAGGTACGCGTAAATAAGATAATCGCTCATAAAAAAATTGCAACAGGTTAAAAACTAGTAGTGTTAACTAACCGGTTGGTACACACACAGACACATTATAGTGCTTAAATTAATACATGGATAGTTATAAGTCACCGACTTTACTCGAACTTAAATAATATTCGATGTATTGAATTCGTCTAGGCTGAAAACGTGATAGATAAACAATTTAATGTTATTAAACGCCGCGTATTGGTGAACGGCTATAATGATATTAATAGTGAAATTATTTTAGCTCAAATTATCTAAAAATATTGGATCAAAACTCGTTACTGTATTAAGTTTTATTTAAATACTTAAGAAAGAAAAAAAACACTTAAGTCTACTCGATCATTCTTAATTGTTATTTTTATCATTTTGTTCATTCATCGCAGTGATATAATTGTGTTCGCAATGTACAGTGTTGTATAATAATGCACATAGAAGGTGAAGTCAAAGTAGGTAGGTAGGAAGGCAGGTAATGGGTAGTAGTATCCTATATACATATCATATTGTCAGTCGGCTTTTTTCTTTTTATTTCATGCCGACTGTAGAAATATAGAAGTCGACACCGGACCGGTTTTCATGTACCACTGATATACATCTGTCAAAGTGTGTTGGTGTGCGCTTTCGTTTTTATCATTACGTTTTGCCTTAATAAGGTGGCTAATATTATGTTCCAACGATATTGTATATCTATCAATACAATATAATATTGTACATATAGGTACATGGACATTGAAAACTATGCAATTTTTTAACACACTGCAAACAAGTTTTAGTTTTTAAATTTTTGTTGCGTTTAATAGTAATTACCAGTCATAGTGTTGATGTATATTTAGTATTGACATTAAATCATTTTTTTTTTTTTTGTGTATGAAATCAAAAATAAAGTAATGACTAGGTAGTGTATTTATACACTTACTATTGTATAATTCCCGTTTAAATTATATTTTTTATAAATAAGAATTATTTTAAATTGAACCAGTAACCTACTCAGTATATAGTTATATACCCATATCATAATAATATGTGTTTTAGTTGAAAATAATATCGAATACTGCAAAACCACTAGTTTATTTTTCTTTCACTGACACGTTCTTATTTCTATTTAATATTGCATAACTGTAGTGATTAATTGTAACTAAAAAATGCAATGTTATCTAACTACGGTGTATGAAAATACATAATGTTTGGTATTACACAAAATTGCATTAAATAGGTACAGAATACATATAATATAATATATATGTACATATGTATATATATTATTTATGACCTATTATGTAGTTAAAATTAAATTAATTGTATCACATATTGACGATAAAGATAAAACAAAACATACAAATATGTTCAAACAAAATTAAAACTTTAAATTTTGTAAGTAGTTATTATTTTATTTTCTACTTACATTTTTAAATTTATTCTTTTAAATATAGCCATTAATATACACATTGTTTGGAAAAAATATTTAGTCCTTAAAAGTGTATAGCATGACATGTAATACTTCTATTAGAGATTTGGAGCGTATTATAAATTATATCTTTAAAACCTGAAAGCAAGACATTTATTCTATTTTTTTGTTTACAGGCCTTAATCATTGCCTGTTTGGCCCTTCAAGCCAACATCATTGCTGGATTAGATTGCTCACCTTCATATTCGTCCGGATATGAACAGAAGGAATATTCTTCACACTCAGCTCCATCATATGGTCCCAAGCCTCAGGCATATTCTGCTCCACAATCATACGCATCTTCTTCATACTCAGCTCCGTCATATTCGGCACCTTCCTACTCTGCTCCTTCACATTCTTCTCCAGCTTATGGTAAACCACAAGCTCACTCTTATCCTTCTTCATACTCAGCTCCGTCATACTCGGCACCATCACACTCTGCCCCATCATACTCGGCACCGTCACACTCTGCTCCATCATACTCGGCACCATCACACTCTGCTCCATCATACTCGGCACCATCACACTCTGCCCCATCATACTCGGCACCATCACACTCTGCTCCATCATACTCAGCACCATCACACTCTGCCCCATCATACTCGGCACCATCACACTCTGCCCCATCATACTCTGCTCCGTCATACTCGGCACCATCACACTCTGCCCCATCATACTCTGCTCCGTCATACTCGGCACCATCACACTCTGCCCCATCATACTCGGCACCATCACACTCTGCCCCGTCATACTCTGCGCCATCATATTCTCCCGCATCTCAAGTTTACGGCAAACCCCAATCATATTCCGCCCCTTCTTATAATGCTCAATCTTACTCTGCTCCTTCATACTCTACTCCAGCTTATGGTAAACAACAATCTTACTCAGCTCCTTCTTACTCCGCCCAATCTTACTCTGCTCCAGCTTACGGTAAGCAACAATCTTACTCTGCTCCGTCGGCGTCCTATGAACAACCGAAGTACCCAGTATCCCAATATTCAGCTCCCTCATACGAAGCTAAGCCACAATCATATTCAGCTCCCGCTCCATCATACAACAAAGAACCATCCCACTCCGCATCGGCCTACCCATCTTACCCAAGCCAAAAAGCTCATTCTGAAGAATCTTACTCACCAAAACCGTACAAATTTGAATACAGCGTAAATGACGAACATACATATGATATCAAAAGCCAAAAGGAAGAAAGTGACGGATATCACGTAAAAGGATACTACACTTTGTTGGAGGCTGATGGCTCCCGTAGAACTGTCGAGTATACCGCAGATGAAAATGGTTTCAACGCGGACGTGAAAAAAGAAGAAGCTCAAGGTTACAACAAAGCAGCTCCAGCGTACAACAAGGACTCCCAAGCATATAAATCTGCCCCAGCTGCTTACAGCGCACCATCACACAACAAACAAGAATCGTCATATGGTGCACAACCTTCTTATAACGCACCTGCCTACAACAAACAAGAATCGTCGTACGGTGCCCCAGCCAAACAATCTCAAGAATACGAAGCTCCGTCGTACTAATTATTTCACTATGTGTCAACTACGATATAAAGTTAAATAATATTACAACTCAACTTCAAACGCCAAATTATAAATGTTGCAAATTAACTGTTATGCTCTTTTAAATAGTTAAATAAGAGTACAAACGATTATTATTTGTATTGATTTTTGAATAATTACCTATGTGAATTAATAATCAATCATCATATTTGTATTTTAATAAATATATGTTATTTCCCAAATCGACTATTCTTGTATTTTTTAAAAATTAAAAAAATTAGTTTTTATTTAAACGATTTATTCTACCAAATAAGGTTACAATATGATTCATGAATAATATGTGGAGTCGAACATATTGATGAGAAAAGATGCTCCTAATTTCACGATCATTGATTAACATTTTAATAAATTGTGAATTGTAAAGGATTAATTTCGTGATTAATCCTTAATTAATAGGACTAATGTACTTACAGGGGGAATAAATACGATTCTATGGAAATTGTATAGATATTTAAACTTTTGTTCGTAAATAATATAAAAAAAAAAAACCGTGTGCTCTTGACATAATATTAAAACAGTTCATGTTGTATGAGATATTATCGGAAATTCTTACAAAGGAAAATTTGCTGACTGTATGTACCGATACCAAGAAAAAAAAATGAAATAATGAACGTAAATGGATTTTTTTTTTTACTACTCATCTGGTCGCCCCCGCAAATCTCTTGAACTATGGCTTTGTTATTCAAATGACAGAGAAAACTGGGTTTGTATGTCTATATATTATACATATATAATAATGCGATTTTTGACACCACCATTTCCCTTTTAGCATAGAGTTTACGATACTTATTGTGTAATTTTGCACAAAAAGTTTTATTCAAAATACATTCTTGGCTTATAAAATAACACAAGAATCAATTAATTGTGATTATCGATAAACTGCACATTATATGTTATTAAATCGAATTAAATTTATAACGGTCATATGCAAATATTATCATGAATTATGTATATTATACATATTACATATAGAGCCACGACTTAATTGGTTATGTACGAGTGGTATGACTAACCTACTTTTTTATTTTATTTTTTCAACAAATTTTTTTAATAATTGATATATATCAAGCAGTATTATAAAACATAAAGCAGTAAAATGTAACAAACGTTCGAAATTTAAAAAGGCGCCACAAAAATGGTCAACATTTTCTTAAACTGGATTTACTCATATATTATAAATCGTAGGTATAGGTATATTAGGTTAGGCGTATGTAATTTGAGTCAAAAACATCCCCTCCAAAAAAATATTTATGTTTTGATAATTTGCGCCACTTTTTAAGGTTGTAGATTGCGCCCCACAAAACTAAATAAAAGGGCATTATAAGTAATCTGCTCCATCGTCTACCTACAAAAATTGTAATTTGCTCCACTTTAAAATAACTAAATAATCAAGTTCATTTTATTAGAAAATCAGTAATATTATAATAATTATAAATAAATGTATTTAAGTATAATTACTTTATGTATATTAAATAAATATATTTTTAATATTTTTGCGATTAATATCGGATTACTGTAAATATCATGATTTACTCAAGCCTGGGCAAGTTAATGATCATTTTTAACTGAGTTGAGTTAAGTCGATAGGAAATATTTTAAAAAGCTAAAAGTTAACAGTTAACCTAATTTTTTTTAACCCAGTTAAGCTAAAAGTTATATGAACATTTTCAAATAACTTTATTCAATTATTATTCATTTATTATTCAATTAACTTATTAACTTAAGTTAGGTTATTATTATTTTTTTTTTTTTTTTAATATCTTTATACCATTAATATGGTTTAAAATAATAAAAATCATAAATAATATTAAACACAGGAAATAGCCAATATATAAGCATAACATAATTGATTTTAATTAAAAAATAACTTATTTATCTCGAAAATATTTAATAATATTATGTTCTTAATATTGTACATTTGTGATTAAATTTAAAAAAGTTAAGTTAAAAAATTAAAATTAACTTAACTTTAACTTTTTAACTCGTTTATGCCCAGGCTTGGATATACTTCTATTCAATATTGTTCGATATTTTGACAGTTGATAATTTTTATTAGATTAGACGTAATCGATTTCTTCTCTATTTATTATTAATAAAACACAACAATAATATTATATCCGGCACTTGTTGGTATTATCGTATTTTCGATGCGATGTCAGTAAATTTATCTGCTGGTAAATTCCAACAATTAAAATTGAAAGTGTGGCGCAGATTACATATTCCATTTCGTTTTCTGTCTTGGTGCAAATTACTAAAATGAATTTTTAGTATATGTTTAATTTTTATATTTTGGTGCAAATTACATACTCGCTTAAATGCACCTATTGGCGGCGCAAATTACAAGTAATTAAATTGGCACAAAACACCATATCCCGTTAGGTTATAAGTATCTACTTTGAAATTAATTAATTAATAGTCTATGCAGTTTGAAGTCTTTAGGATTATTTTTTTTTTCAAACTATGCCATAAAAATATAAAATAGGTATAATTAATATAATAATTTAAACGCCACCATTCATACAAATTGTAAACTAAAAACTTTATAAAACCATTACAAGCAATATTTTCAAGCTTTTATAGATTTAAATTGTATTGTATAATTGTTTAACAGAACCCATGTTATCTTTGTATAACAAAGTAATATAATTATTGGTAGGTATAGGTACATAACATTTCTGAACATACTTTGTGTTCATCTTCAGAATCGCTCACGTAGTACCTATAACATAATATTATGACGAATATTATGCTAAATATAGAACGTTTACCGTTTGATGGCACTGTACTATAAAACACAAGCAACTAAAGCGTGCATGAAAAATCTGTTTAATAATAACATTAATAATAGTTTAATTTCTATCGGCTATAGCTGAATGGTTAATATCAATACAGTTTTTCACAATAATTAATGCATAGTTTGAAATCATACATAAATTATTACTACCTATACATTATTATACCTAATATGCAATTTGCAATTAGTATTTTGTACTAAATTAAATATCAAACAAACCGATCATTGAACTACAATTTAAAATAAAATACACTCATGAATTAACAAACTCTTTAGACTATCCCGATTAACGCGTACCTACTAGGTATATATTATTATGTTAATTATATATTTAGTATTTACTACTTCTTAGTCATTTGAAAACTGGGTATTGAACATACCAATTTATTATTATATTGCAATATTTGTGTAACTTATCAGCTTATCAAGTGTTATTTTAAATCAATGTTATATAGATGATCAAAATCTAGACAAATTGTAACTTACAAATGTTTAATAAAATAAAATAATTTGAGTGCCTAGTTTCATAATAATATGATAATCTGTCGTACGAATTCAGTAAACTATTTTATGTAGTAAATTAAAACACAATTTTTGTAATATTTCAATAAGTAACTTTAGCTGTTATAATAATATGGTTTTTCCGTTTTCGGACATATTATTATATTAATATAAATTAAATTGATTTTGCTGAAAAAATATGTTTTATAATTATATATTAATATGCATAATTTAGTTTGTAAAGCTTATTTCAGTAACCTTACTTTATTAGTTATAACTGGTAATTTTATTGATTTCATCGATTTCAATAACTTAAAAGTATGTTATTAACAAAGTGGATTTTGTATTATGAGCAAGAGGCATTTGGTTTGTTGTTTTTTTTATTTCTGAAAAACGCTTAAAAGGGTTATAAAAGTGCTCCAAAACGTTCATATAGCTTCTCTAATATTGAAAAGTGAACACAGATGATACTTCAAACAGATTATTTTGATAAATTCTTAGTTTTAAAAATAATAAAATTGCGGAAAATATGAAGCTTTTGGTAAGTTTGTTGTCAAATTGCAAAAAAAAAAAAAGAATAACCTGAAGAACACTTTACGGAGACAAAAGTGCTTCAACATCTTTGTGTGGCATATTATGGTTTATCAATTCTTTCAAATTTAGAATATTGTAATATGATGAGTGATCCGATTTATACGATTTGTACCTAAACTTATTTTTAAACTAGATTGTTAAATTTTATATTTCCATTTACCTTTTATACAATATGTTTGATTTTAATAAGATAATATATAAATAAAAATATTACTTAAAACAGTAAACAATTATCTATTTTAACTTCAGTAATTGTTGATTCAAAAAATTCACAATATAGGAATATAACCTTTGTAATATATTTATAAAAACCAAGTGACACTAAAGTATAGGTAAAAATGTTGCATTCAAACAATTAAATATGTTAACCGAGAGCAAATTATTGTTTTTTTTTTGTTCTGTTATTATAGTACCTATATAACTTATAAGTTCTATACAAAATACGAATTGTGAATTTAAATCTTGAATTGATGGATAAAAATATTAGTTTATTACACAATGAATGGAATACTGCGGTTTTAATTGAATAAAATGTCAAGTGCGTTCAAGTATAAGCTCCAGGGTTTCTTTCTCTAGTACTTTAATTGGATACTATGGCGAGATCCAAACTAACGTAGTTATACATTGACTTTTAGAAATATTTATAATATATTCTCATGTTGTATAATAATACTACCGGTCAATAACCCATTTTATTAGTATTAAAACTACTTTAATATACTATAATATTATTGCGTTTTGGTGTAACTTGTCTATAGAATTGAGAAAAAATTACAGATGATTTGCATACATTATTTTATTTTACCTACTTATAAGTCATAATCAATAACTACCTAGGTATTTGGAATATTACATTTTTTAAATCATTGTTTATATTATAATGGTACCTAGCTGTGTGTTATATTCAATTATTTCTAGAAAGTTTCTAACATCAGTTTGATTTTTAAATCTATAAATCGTATAGGTAATAGTTTATAAATTTGGCATATAATTAAAAAAAAATGTTGTATGATAATGTAGTATAAATAAATGCTAATTCTGGTAGTGGAATGGGTGGCAACCCGCAGTAGTG